CGTTCGTTCTCCCCAAAGATATCGTCAAAAGGAAGCAGATGTGGTTTCTTCTCTCACCCTATTCCCCATTGTAGATCCCATTTCGCGGAATTACGTCCGCGAGGATATATATATATAAAGCTTGAGCAAGTTATCCGCGGTCTAGCGATAATCCAGCGAGGAGCACGTGATCTATCCAGGTGGATCGGCTGGTCGCCTCGGCAATCTCCGGTAATGATCAGTTTCCATGGCGATCGAGGTGGTGTTAGGCAGCGCCGCGCCTGCTTTTACCCTCGCAGAGCGCAGGAGCGGGCCATCCGCGTCGCAACCACGCCGACGCCTGCAGGATGAAACATTAAGGCTGCGTTTGCGCCGATGCGCCCTGCCTTGATCTACTTCGAACGAAGGATAACGCGACGACGGCCATCCAGAAAACAACCTGCAACCGCGCGACCTTTCCTTACTTACTCCTCGTATCGTAGTACTTTCTCTTTTTTTTTTTTTTTCCTTTTTTTAGGTTAAACTTTTAAGCCTCCCGCGATTTAGGTCGTGTCTTAATTAATAACCCTTGGCACCCGCGCCTTTTTTTTTTTTTTTTTAAATTTTTAATTTTCTGCATGGGAAATGTATTCTTGTTGTTTTGCGTTTTTCAGGCGTTTCTTTCGATTTTAGGTGTTTCTGGGGCGGTATGTACGTTTAGTTTCTTTTCGAGATATTTGGGTGTCTTTGAAACATTTGAGGTTTTATATATATAAAGAAATTATAAATATAAATATAAGTATAAATATAAGTATAAATATAAGTATAAATATAAATATAAATATAAATATATAAATATAAATATAAATAAATATATAAATATATAAAGAAATAAAAAAAAATATATATAAGGCAGTCTTCCTTTCAATCGGTTGCCTTTTTTAAATTAATTGTTCCTCTTCCTTCACTTCGAACGATGAATTCCATCTTGACGACTTTTTCTTGTTTTTTAGATCTCCTGAAATTGTGTATTTAATTATTTAATTGGTTTCCATTCTTTTCTCTTGAATTGATTGTTTCTCCTTTCTTTCGGACGGTGAATAACATAGAGATACTCGAAGAATAAAGGTTGCGAGACGTCCTGACGTCGCTTCTACTTTCCAGGTTTTTAGTCGTCTGTTTTAATTATTTTTGATATAACTTCTGTCTTCCTTTTACTTTGTTCTAGGTATTTTGGATGATACGAGAGATTCACATTTGTCCTATCACCCTGTTCGTATATCTTTAAACCTGTAGCTCGTTGTTCTCTATCCAATTTTTATTTCATCTGTTTCATCCATTTCTCCCGTCTTTGTATTTTGAATCGCGAACGGTGATTCAGAAGATTCTTTTTCTCTATCCCTAAATCTGATCTTCCGGACTTCTAACTTTATAATCGGATATTAATTTCAGTATATCATCCGCTTCTTAATTAATACTTTTCTTCGCTCCCCCTTTTTATTCCATTCTTCCTTTCCAACTGTGGACGATGAATGGACAGACGTTATATCTCGGTCTTCGGATAAAGGGACACGCCTTGACCTTTCAGCCCCTTTGTCATTTTTATTTTTTAACCTCTCGATCTCAGAAGCTTTTCATTTCCATTCTCTTCTCGTTTTGACTTTCATCCTCTTCGCTCCTTTATGCCAGTGCTCCGCGCGACGGATAGTAACAAGATGGGACGGGTTACTCGAAGAATGGCGGCTGCGCGGCCTGACTTTTTTTTTTTTCATCGTTATATTCGCCATTATCTTTTGAAACTATTATCCATACAATTTCGTTCCCTCCTTTCGTCTTTCATCTCCTTTCTGCTTTGGTTCTTTGAACGGCTGGACGACTCGAAGCGAGGCGAGGCTGTTCCTGGAAACAGGGACTGCACGTTCTCACCTTTCGTCCTCCAGGTCGCTTTTATGTCTTTTTTTCCTTTTTTTTTCTTTTTTTTTTTTAACTTCTCTCCTTTTCCTTTTCCTTTTCCTCTTTGAATGACGCGTAGCATGAAACGAAGTTACCCTGAGTGCCCGTCATAGTCTTTCCCACTTAGTTTCTATTTTCCTGTTCCATTTTCTATTTTAATATTTTAATGCACGATGAATAGCGCAGGAGGAAGTTGCGCGAGGGAAGCTGCTCGAAGGTTGAACGTTTCTTCCTCTTCTCGTTTCTTTTTCACTTTGCTACTGGTATACCGAGTCGCTTACTGCCTCTTCTTCTTTTCTATCTTAATATTTTATTTGTTTTGGTATCTTACTTTGCGGCATGTGCACACTGTTGCGACGTATAGTGACATCTACTCTCTTGTCCTTTTCATAGTTTATGTTTCATACGAATAATTGTATTTTGATATTTTAATATACGACACGATGGTATCAGAAGTTCGCTTGAAAATAATGATTGAAAACTTAATTTGTTCGCATCACGCTACTGATTGAAACAGTTGTGAAGGATCGATGTTTCTTTCAATTTATATTTGCACATTTTGCGTTTCTGTAAATTCAGCAAATTTAATATCCTACAATTGGAACAACAAATTTATTAAGAAAATTCTCACCCTGATGAATTTATCATCGTTATGACGAAAAAGGAGATTCTACTTGCGAGTCTCCGACTACAAACAGACTCACTCTACTTGTCTGATTGTAAACGACTCGCTCCACTTGCGAGTATCTGGCTGTAAACGGACATTTTACTTCCAGATGTCTGGCTGTGGACTCGTTCTACTTGCGTTCCATAACCACGCTTTCGCGTTTCTATGAAAGTACATTTCCAAATAATTAATTATTAACGAACGTATAATTTCGTCACACGATGGATAGTTTCCTTTTTCTAGATGTATTTCCACATATTATTTTCACCTTAAAAATTTCACCTAAATGCGTAGAGAACTGTTCCTTCTTTCTCACTTTTCATTTTACTCATCTTTTTTCTTTTTTCTTCTCTCGCCGTTAGGCTCGATCTGAAACGTTTCGAACGATCGGGCCGTTCGTTAGGCAGAACGATTGATGGCAGAAAAATCGACGTGGATAAATAATACTTCTGGAATAATAACGAGCCCGGAAGTTCAATTCCTTTTGCTCGGTAATTGCATCGACGTGGATCTGGGTCACCTTTCGCCCACGCCACCTTCTTTCCTTCCTTTCGTCCGATTATGCGGAGACAAAAGGACACCGTCCACAAGGCAAAACAATTGCGTTACGAAAGCCAACCCTCCCCCTCGCACCCTCTCTCCTTCGTTTGCTCGATCTCTCTTGAATTTATCAAGCGATCAGTGCGATACGAAAATTTTAATTTGACGTTTTTCTTGAACGTTTGGATTATACCATTGTACGACTATAGACAATAGAAAGCTTAAGAGAGAAAACGAGAAGAAAATTGTATTATTTTTTTTTTTTTCTTTCTTCGGAGAACGAGGATTATGCTCTGCTTCTGAGCGGAACAATATGAAATATGTATTTTCAGGATGATGGCGAATCAATTGAAATGAATTTATTTAGAATTATATTTGTAAAATCTACGTATTTAAAAACAGAGTAACAAATGTGACGAAAAATATTGTGTTTGTTTAGGAAAAGCAATGAATAAATGTAAAGTGTAATTTAGAATAGAGTAGTATATTAATATTGGTATTATCATAATATTTGGTAGATTATTGACATACGCGATGTCTCTTTTCTGCAGATTTTCTTTTGTCTCCCACTATAATTAAGTATTAAGTATATTATTTTAAATATCTATTAAGTATAAATATAAATAAGTATATATATCTATTAAGTATAAATATAAATATAATTAAGTATATATTATCTTAAATATCTATTAAGTATAAATATAAATAAGTATATATTATCTTAAATATCTATTAAGATTGTGTTTTATAGAAACAAAAATCTTCACGATATTACATTCTACGTAGAAAATGTAGTACGTGTATTTGCATGAGTCTTATCTGAACGATACAATAAAAATAATATTTTAGAAATTTTTCACAACCACTTATTATATATTCTAAAGATAGTATCGACAAAGTTTCGTTCTTTGCCTCGTTTTGTCATTGGTTCAAGGGTAATAATAAAATTTTTCTTGCAAGACGCAGTTGTACGAATACTTGACAGATTGTCTACTACAGAAGTTCTCGGCCTCAAAAATATATAAAATAAATACACAAAATAATATGATTGCAAAATAATACAACATTATAAATATGAAATATAAAATATTAATAAATAAACGAAGTTACTCTAGTCAGAAACATTTTGATAGCCGTTTGTATTATACACTCCCGATTTTGTTAATTTGATTTGCACGATTAGATTTAATTCGGTTTCTGTAAATGGAGTTTGATTTAATATGATTTCGGTTTACACAAATGGGTTTGTACATTCATTTAACATGTTGATTGACGTAACTTGCACGCCTGAAATAACTTTTCAATTATGCGTCCAATGAAAAATCATTTGTTACAAAAGGCAGGCGAAATATGGCGTAACAATTTTTCGCGTGCGTCGAAGGGTTTCGAAATTTCGAAAATTTCACTTGGACCATGTGTGTTTTCTTTTTTTTCATCGTAAATCGAAAGAATATAAAATTGCAAGTGAAAAGATATTATTGGTAATTGATACGAGTTGAAAAGTTAGTTTACATTGGTGTGCAAGTTACGTGAATCACGTTGTATAGCTTGCATGTAACAGATTGTACATTTTGCAAACTCTTTGTCTGAACGGCAGAACAGAAATGACATTTCAACGAGAAACTTTGATAGTCGTCGCATTATGTATTCCGAGCGTAACAGCGACTGTGGTAGGATAATCGACAAAGTTCAGCCCTTCGACTAATCCAACAGTCGTTCAAGAGTTCAAACGTATACGTTTCGCGAAGTTCAGAGAGCAGTTACCGAGAGCCTGCGCTGGTTAACAGATTAACCAGTATGAGTTTTATCGTTCTCGCCTGCGGATTTTCCCGTGCCTCGTCGCCAATCGATTAATCGAATCGATTTTCTTCGTATGTTTCAGAGGTGCCTTCTCGGTGGTTCGACGATGCGTTCAGAAGAGCACTGGTCACGAATTCGCGGCGAAGATCATCAACACGAAAAAACTCACGGCCAGAGGTAAGTGAAATGATCGATGAAATTTTATTTTCTCAACAAATTGGATCTCTCTTTTCCTCGTCTTTAATCGGAGACGAGTAGTCAGTTGGTCACTTGGAAAAATTGGAACTTTTAATCCTTGGTGAACTTTCAGTTTTCATTTTAATATAATTAAAATTCACGTTTAATTTAGAAGAAGTATGTTTCCTTGGTGAACTTTCAGTTTTCATTTTAATATAATTAGAATTCACGTTTAATTTAGAAGAAGTATGTTTCTTCTTGAAATGTTAGAATCGTAACAGGGTTTTATGAAATTTTTAAACAGTGAAGTTTATCACCTATTATCTTCAATGTTTAGTTTAATTTAATTGGAATTTATGTTTGATTTGGAAAAAGATACTTTTCCTCACAGTGTTATAGTTTTAATTTATAAAAGTTTTATTTTAAAATTTTATTAAGTTTTATTTTATAAAATTTTATGAATCCTCGAATTGTGACCTATAGCTTTCAATTGTAGTTTAATAATCGAACTTTGAATTTTGACAAAATAGCGAAGAAAAGTTCTAAAGGATCGTCCGTTCAATTTTCATCAACGTGATATAAGAGCATTTTTGCGAAAACGAACTTTGAAGGATTGTTATACTACTCAAAATGTAATCAAGTCGATTGTTGTACGATTTCTCTTAGGTGTTGTATGAAGTACTCTCAGTTAAAATTGTTTTTTTTCTCGACGAAAAATTTCCTCTCGAAAAATTCTCTCTCACGTCAGCTAAAAAAAAAAAAAGAACAAATTCACGACCGCGAATTAATAAACTATTCAGAAGAACGTAACGATCATGCGAAAGTTTCGAGCATCCCGTATTTTCGCGTGAAACTTTCAAGGACCATTTTCATAGTAACGCAGCCTCGTCAAAAGCTTGCGAAGCGTTTCGTATTTCACCTAATAATGCTGTGTATTTTAAATGTTAATATCGTTGTATCGAGGAACAAAACTCGCGGAACTTTCATTGGAAAGTTAATAATAATTCATCAACGATGTTAACGATCGATCGATCGTTTGGTCATCGTCGTCAATCTGTTAACCAAAGACCTCTGAGTTAATAATTAATAAATAGGGAAATTGATTCTGGTTTGGTCTTGATCTTTGATAATTAAAATGATAAGTCGTATATAAACAAAGAAATTATTACTGGACTAGATCTTTGTGCAAGTTTATAGTTTCACAGGCAGATATAAAGAGGTAGAAATTTGGCAAAGATTTGAATTGTAACAAGTGGAATATTTCAGATGTATTATACAGTTTTGCATATTGTGTATATTTATTTTACATAAATGCACGAAAAGTCTAACTATTCTGTGCAAAAGATCGAGATCTTAGCGACCAAGTTAATTAAGTTGAAGTGAGAATCATTCACTATCTTAGTAATTATCTATTATTATAAAGACGTTATTAAAATAACTATAATTGTGTATAACATACATACGTAGCAGTATAGATAATGTGTGTATCTATACTGTACAACACATTAATAAATGAAAATACATATTTTTTCTGAAGCAGAATTATTATTTGACCAATGAATAAATTTAAAGTATACTTGAGAATGCACGTAGCGTATAAAAATATACTTAAAATGTTCAAAATGTATCATTCAGTGGTTGAAAACTTACCTCCTACTTTAAATTCAAACTTTATTTATAACAATACGAATTGGTATAAAAACTTGCAATTCTACTGACACGATGAAGAATGTAATATCTAACAGATCACGAACGCTTGTACTATTTCTACGGGCAAGTTTGTCTTTCGTTGTTCATTATGATTGCATTTCAATTAATTTTGGCCAGAAACGTTGCTCGTTCTTTATCTCGATAATTAGACGTGAAATCGCGAAAGGAGAGAGAGCCGAGCTTTTCGTACGCTCAAAGCGACTTAACGTCTAAAAACAACGAGCGACGCTGTTGTCAGTCTGCCAACATTCCATCGCGACCAATAGTAGCCAGTGCCGTATGATCCTCGATTCGGAGAAACTTATCTCTCTTCATCGTATGAAATTTCATTTGCATTCGCTGTGGAACATATCGAGGAAGCACTACATTTTCTGCTGAAAACTCTGTCATCAGTAATCGTGGGTTGTAAAATTTTTAATTAACGTTTATAATAACATTTTGACATAGTTACAGAAGCTACACAATATAGGGTGGTCACTGAAATGATATAAAACAAAAATAACCTTTACAATATGCATGATTTTAGATTTGTTATCATTTTATTTGGAAATATAATTGATAAATTTATTTTAGTATTATCTCCATAAGCTCCATAACCCAAAAAAGAAAATAAAAAAGATTGAAAATGAACAAGTTATGACTTTTTCGAGCCCTTCAGTTTTCCAGTGGCCACTCTGTAGTAATTTAACCATGACGTATTAATTGTAGTAGTATTAGTATAGTCATTGATATTTCAGGAATAATTAATAACTGATAACATAGTAACATTTTAGAAGAATCTTTACTGTACAGAATATTATTTAATTTTCCCAATTTTGGAACATAGTTCTGAGACTTTTAAGCGGTGCATTTGCGTATATACATTTTGTACATTTTTGTACAAAATATTGTTGAAGAATTTGTAACTTGTACTAAAGACTTTGTTTAATATTATTATTTAAAACATTAGTATTATTATTTAAAACTCTTTTTTAATCGGTCCATTGGCTCGAGTAATTTAACGTAACCTCAAAATATTCTCAAATTTCCCGCGATCGTCGTGGCCGTATTAAAAAATTATTAACCTAACCTAACTTACTTACTTAAAAACTACTAATCTAGCCTAACCTAAAACCTAAAAACCTAGCCTAGAACTACAAATCTACCATAGTTATTCGCGTCGAAGGGAAAACGAGAAAGGAGAGAAATAAAATACTACTAACCTAACTTACTTACTTAAAAACTACTAACCCAACCTAACCTAAAACTTAAAAATCTAGCTTAGAGCTACAAATCTACCATAGTTATTCGCGTCGAAGGAAAAACGAGAAGAGAGAGAAATAAAATACTACTAACCTAAACTAACTTACATACTTAAAAATTACTAACTCAACCTAACCTAAAACCTAGAAGTCTACCATAGTTATTCGCGTCTAAGGAAAAACGAGAAGAGAGAGAGAAATAAAATACTACTAACCTAACCTAACTTACTTACTTGAAAATTACTAAGCCAACCTAACCTAAAACCTAAAAACCTAGCCTACAGCTACAAGTCTACCATAGTTATTCGTGTCGAAGGAAAAACGAGGAGGGAGAGAAATAAAATAAAACGTTCGGTGTGACACGAAGCCAGATGAGCGTCGTAATTGAATCAATCAAAATATTCGAGCGAAAGCGATCCGATAAACGCCAACGACGAGTCAATTTAATTAACCAGCTAAGACCAAGGCGACCGGCTTACCTGCGTCGCAGATTTCTTTCTTTTTCTTTTTTCTTTTCTTTTCTTTTTTTTTCGGAGGCTTTGTTCTGAAATGTCTGAAGTCAGATTCATTGTTGACGACCATTGTGCATCAACGAGCGCGGAATCCTCGTTGGAATTCTTTGCGCGGGTGAGAGGGAAGATCTTCTTTCGAGGGAAAATGGAGATACAGCGACTTCGAGCTCGCTAGACGAATTTTTCTCGTATTTCGGATTCCTCCCTTTTCGTGTGTTTCAGCTTACGAATATTTTAATAATCGTCGAATTATGCGGCGGTTTTTTTTTTTGGACAGATACCTGCTTATTTATATTTGGAATGATATAATATAACCTGTATAATATATTAAAAATTAATATAATATAATTAAATTATATGATTTATAATGTGTTATATAAAATTATATAATATATAATGTATATCTATTGTGTTATTAGTATAAAATATTAAAAAATATATAAGTATATTGATAAAAAAATTTATAATTATATTAATACAATTATATATTTTATAATATTATATAAAAAATTTATAATTATATTAATATATTACATTAATAAAATAAATTTATAAATATATTAATACAATATATTATAAAATATATAATTTGTATTATATATATTAATAAATATATCTTGAACAGATCTCCTAAGAAGTTTTGAATTTTTCTAACGTTAAACTATGGTAGAGGATTATTTGGAGTATATTCGAAAATAATAGAACGAACAAGAATTTTATGGTGTCGCAGAAAATATTCAGACTCTGAAGCCGTTACAGCTTGAATTCTGTATTTTAACACTCGTCTGCGAGAATTTTCCCTTGCTGGGATGATGTTAAATTTTGCAAAATCAAAATTTGAAAAAGATAGTAAAGTGAAAAATGATTTTATATACTATATTAGATAATCAGAATATATAATCGTAAAATATATTTAGCCACGTATAATCTATACAATATAAACATAAATTTGGAATATATAATCTTTCATATTTATCCATTGCCACAGGTATACTTTTTTTATTCTACAGAACTCGACCATCAAACGTTAAAAAAAAAAAAAAGAAAAACAGCGAAAAACGAGCAACAGAATGTTAAATTTGAATAACAAATATTTACTTTGTTTCAAAGTCCATCGAGAGATATGTTTCCAACGAATATGTTATTTCGCCGAGCGTTAATCGCCCGGCTGAACCTGTAGATGAAGATAAAATAACAAATATCGTCCGTGCCCAGGATATTTCGAATTCCATCCATTGTTTTAACATTCTGCGACCTCTGAGCATCCCTCTGACGAGTTAGCATCATTCCACGGGAATAAACTCGCGGTATACTTCATTTGGAACCGCGGAGACCGAACAATCCAAGAATCATCTCCCGTCGTAATATTCCGAGATCGTTCGCGCGCACAGGTTCCCTTCGGCGGACACACCGATGTTTGATAAATTTAGTATCAAACGGATCGCCACCCAAGCGGCGCTGTATCCGCTCGCTATATCGCCAGCTTTATTGTCGCTATCAATCGATCCTCTGGCACCGGTCCTAATGTGCGAGTTCG